ACACACACACACACACACACATTTTCTGGGTTTTCTGGTGGGGTGGGGGTTGTTTTAAGGCAGCAGCAGTGCACCTTGGTCTTGTTCATGCTTAGGACATGGATCATAAATATGGATAGAATTACTGTGAACTCTTTTTTTCTCACTTAGCTCATTAAAATTATTCACAACCTGTGAGATATTAATCACCCATGACCTTTCCACATACCCCAATTCAAAACATCTGAACCGTCATGTTAAGGTAAAGTTAAGGTCATCAGGATTTTTTTGTTAAAGTTTAAACAGAGCTGCTATCTTTCCTCAAGTTGAACTGGCACTGATCCCAGTATAGCACAAGTTAATTTCACATCATTCTCTCTTATCTTTCCCTAAGACTATTACACACAATTAAAATAGTTACCAATTAAAGTCAAGCATACATCCAATTTTATCAGACAGAAGAAAAAGTCAATTCTACAAGTACCACTGAATCACATTATTCAAAACACAACAAATCAAATCCCCTTATTTGTTGTTTAAGTAAAGTCTTGTTCAAAGGTGCCTTGTCTGGAAACACTGACAATGCTTTTTGAATAATATTGTATCCGTGAGGACCCAGTACATAATCTAAAACCCTATTTATTTATTTATTTTGTTGTATTTATTTAATTAATTTTAATCTCACTTGACTATTCTAGTGTAGTGGTCACCCTGGTGCTGAATGACAAACATGTTTCGTCTGGTAAGCACAAATGAAAGATTGCTGACAGCTGTGAATAAAATTCTGTCAGCAAGCATCTGCAAACGCAAGGTTAACGGTCATGCATGTATCTAATTTTGATCCTTGATTTAAAATAATGTTAATTACATTTTTTTGGACATGGAAAACATTGTACTGCTTTTATGAAGGTCTTGTAGCATTTGACCTCACGTGGTTCAACAACCTTGTTCAAGGTACTTGTTTTAGTAGCATCAGCATGAACTGTGTCCAGTGGAATAAAGAAACAAATTCAACCTGTTTGTTTCAGGCCTTTTTAACCATTCGTCCAGAATCCAGCTACTCTTTTTTTTTTATTTGAGTTGTACATATTTAACATGCACTTTCTTTCTAAGCACTTTGGAAACAGCTGCTGTTTTAAATGTGCTTTATAAATAAATTTGACTTGGCTTTCTTTCCAGAGTTGCATTCTGGCCTAAAAAATCCGGCCCGAACCCGTATCATTTTTTCCAAGCCCGACCCGAAATTGACCAATTAACTGTGATTACAGGTCCGAACCTGAAAAAAAAAAGACATTTTATTAATTGAGCTTTTACTGCTTTTGTAAGCAAATTAGTTTGACATTATTTAAAAACATATTTCAAAGAAAGAAAGATATAAGATTTATTGTTTATTAACAAGAGCCACTGTAATATTATAATTATTATAATATTACAGTTATTATAGTGTTATAGTTATTATAGATATTAACGGTAAGGGGGTGCGTGCGGCTGATGATCCAAATTGGGTCGTCAACTGCGTGCGCGCGTCCGCTGACGCCGTGACTGAGTCCAGTTAAGCTTCAGGTGGGTGGCTGGCAGTGATCCATGTGGACTTTCTTTTACCTCTTTCAACCAGCGGATCAGCGCGTGGTCAAACGAATGCACGTGGCCGGTGATCCAAATTGGATCGTCAGCCGCAGTCGTCCGCTGATGCAATCAAAAGTCTGACACTGACCCGGCCATTCAGCACATTATTTTGACCTTGGGCAAGGCCCGAATCTTTGCGTTGGGCCGTGCCAGTTGCAGGCCCAGGTTAGAAATGACAGATCCATTTCTTTCCCCCTAAAAAAAAATTAAGTAAAAGAAGTCAAATGTTATTTTTTTTAAAACAACACATTTCAGGTTACTTCTCTGGCATGATGCAGGAAACATAAGTTCAAAAGTGCCACAGTAACAAATTATAACCCCCCACCCCCTGTGTGCTGCCTACAAGTTGATGAATTGGATCAGTGGTTTTAGCTTTGCACCTGCTCCACTCACAAGTTTGTTTTAAAAGTGTTTGTGTGCCCATTTTGTACTATCATTGGGGACAGGGGTCCGCATGGGGAACAGAACACAGCAACATGCTCTGTGTGTTTGAACTGAAGTTCGAGTTCTGCTATCATAAGGACGCGTGGACTAGTTTGTGTTTTGGTGCTTGATCAGCTGCAGGATGTGAAGTGGTACACTCACATAGTTCACTTTGTTTGAGCATTTCAGCCTAGCCTTTGTTTTAGCTTAGTTAGCATAATGTAGCTTGGCCTATTTTAGCTGTAAAACAGCTTTGTAATATAGATGCAGAAACTGTGCAGTGGTCCTGCCAGCTCAAGAAGCCGAAGCAGAAAATGCACAATAATAGTCGTACACACACCTTTTTGTTTTTTTAGCTTCACCTGTTTAAGCTTTTCTTAGTTTAATTTCGCACTGAGTGATTTAGTCTAAGTTAGTTGACTCTGCTGTAAATTAATTGTTTCTTGGCATTTTTCTTAATTTTTTCAGTTTTGTATTTTAGTTTGTCTAATCAGTGCAGTAATTCTGTGACTGTCAGGTTTTTTTATATGAACATGTTTGTGTATCAGTCTGATATTGACTTTATTCTCACTGCATATTATACTTTGACTCATAGATTGTTCGCTTGAGTACATCTTTAAATTCAACACAGTAAAATGTAACTTCCAGTTTCATGAAGGCTGGAAGATGATTCAAAGCTGTTTCATAAAGACACATCCACCATCTTGTAAAAACAAGTCCTGATTGTTAACTGCAAGAGTTTGTTGCTTCAGTATATTCATTTTTATTGAGAATTGTTTATCAGAATATCTACACATAAATGTATTTTACTGACTTTCCTGTTTCTGTTTAAATGTCCTCCATGTGACTATGATACAGATTACTGATCTGCTTTGCATAAAATACACTTAAGTGTTTTTTTTTCCTCTGTTTATGCAGGAACCTTGGAAAGTCAGGGCTCAGAGTATCCTGTTTAGGACTTGGTGAGTAAAGTTGCATGTGTCTACACATCTTCATATTCCTCCAAGAGTACATTTATCTCAGACATGTAACCTATTTTATTTATCAATTTCTGCATTCTCTGTGTATTCAACCAGACTTGGACACACAAACAAAATATCTGTCTGAGCTCTTAACAAAATGATTCTGTGCTTTTCTACTAACAAGAGTTATAGTTAAATACCCTCATGAGTGTAATTTTATATGTAGGTTGCAGTTATAAAGTTATTTTATTCTTGCATAAAAAGAGTCAATGGAATCACCTGAACTCTGCTGCAGCACTGGTGTGGGAGGAAAACACACTCACACACACTTACACAAACAGCCCTTGAGCAACTTTCCTATTTCTGTCACCATAAAGAGCTCTTGGAACAATAAAAGAGGAAAACAGAAACCAGACTAATGTTTCCCTTCTCCCATTGGATGATTTCTAGAGTGTGTTTGAATAATTGAAACAAATCAGTTTAAAATGTATTTATTACAGGCTAACTTTTAGTAGGCTGGAATTAAATGAAACATAGTTTTGTTAAAAATTTAATTTTTATTTAACTAAGACTTGATTAATTTGACAAAAATATGATATTCCAGTCAGATGTGATGTTAAACAATTTTGCTGTTGCTGTTTGTGTTTGCAAATAATCCAGAAATAATCTGGTTTAAAACCTAAGTAATGTAAAATTGATGGTGATGTAAAGGGTTAAAAAATAACTTTTTGCATAAACCGCTATGCTTTTTCTTAATCGTTTCGACTAAAGTTTCCAGTTTTTGTGAAATAGGTCTTTCAGGTGATGAAGAGTCTTCAAAAAGGCTTTTTGATGCTTTTCAGATTTTTTATTAGACCTTTATTTATACAGGTTAGTTCCAATTGAGCCTCAAATACTCATTTACAAGAGAGACCTGCTGTTTATTTGTCAGGCTGTAATGTGTGGCTCTGACTTCTCTGACACCACAGGTGAATATGACTCAAACTGAATGAGCTGAAGGTGCCGAAAAGGTCAAGCTAATGCCAGCAGGCTGCTTCATGCTGCGTCTCCGTCAGACACGATGCTGACAGGGAGAGGGAGGATGTAAAAGAGCAAAAAGTGATGCTAGATGCAGTTTACCACTTCACCTGAAGGAGTCTTGTCAAGATTAGTGAGGATGATGTCAGCAGCAGAAGGATTAGAGTTATTATCATTCATCGTGTGTAACAGAGACTGAAATGTGTTTCTCAGACCAGTCTAAAATAAATAAAATACAAAAATTAATTAAAAAATCCTAAAGTGTTAAAAGAAAAAGTGGCACCTTAAGAAACCAAGTTAAGTTATCTTTTCTTCCCATCAATCTAGCTTTGGGAAACAACACAGCACAATAACTGCTTCGTTGAAGGTTTTTAATGATGATGTTGTTAAAGCATTGGATGCTAAGGACTACTGTGCTGCACATTATCAACTATTTCCTGCAGGCTCTATAAAGTTCTATCTTATCTTATGTTATTTAGACTTGTCTAAAACTTTTGATACTGTGGACAATGACATCTTATGTCATAAGCTCTCAGACATTGGTTTCTCAGATCAAACTATGAGTTGGTTTTCTAATTATCTCTCATGCTGAAAGTAATGTGTTCAACACAATAGTTCTTCTTCTAGTTATTTAACCCTCAATAATGGTGTACCACCAGTCTCAATCTCCGGACCCACTCTTTTTACAATCTACATGGTCAGAACATTCCTGACGTGTCCTTGCATTTCTATGCTGACGATACAGTTGTTTATTGTCGAGCTAGAACAGTTACTAAGGTTTTCTAGCTTTTACAGTCTGCATTCGTCATCATCCAGTCAAATTTGTTCCATCTCAAATTGTTGCTAAATGCTGATAAAACCAAAGGGATGTTGTTTTTAAACAGAAAGTTTGTACCAGCAGTCCTTTCTTATATCTTGTCTACAAATAGTGTTCCTATTGAGTTTCTAGATTCTTACAAATACAGCGTTCCCTCGTTTATAATGGGTGTTAGGGACCACGCCCCCTCTGATAAGTGAAAAACCGTGAAGTAGGGATACAGTAGCCCAAATAGTAATAGTAGTAGTAGTAAGTAGTAGTTTATTTTAGTATTTATATAAATAATATATATTGTTTATATATTATATTATTTATAATAATAATATATATATATATATATATTTTAGACCTCGTGGCCCCGCTAAAAATCAGGCGATCAAAGCGGGCACCACACCCCTGGTTGAACGCGACCACTCGAGCAGCCAAACGTCTATGCAGGAGAGCCGAGCGTAAGTGGAAAAAGGACAAATTACAGGTTTCTTTTATTATGTTAAAAACGTGTTTGAAAGATTATCAGAGCATCGTTAAACCTGAAAGAACAAATATCATTCATTGCTTCAAACATTCATAATCCCTGTGTTCTTTTTAATACCGTAAATTCCATTTTAAACGTGCCTCGGTCTGCCAGCATGGAGGCCTTTGTTGACATCTGCAACAACTTTACCAGATACTTTGCTGATAAGGTAGAGTTGATTAGGTCAGCCATCCCCCAATCCACAACTGACCCCTCTGTCTTTGTCCCTTGCTCAGCTGTCTTCAAACAATTTGAACCCATTTCACTCCCATTTCTAAACAAAGTTGTTGGTCAGATGAAACCCTCCGGTTCCCCCGCTGACCCCATTCCTGCGTCATTTTTCAAACAAGTTCTACCCCCGATTGGACCCTCTGTTCTTACTATTGTAAATAGTAGTATTGTGACAAGTGTGGTTCCCCATGTTTTCAAGCATCCGTTAATTAAGAAACCTGGACTTGACCCTTGGATTTGCTCAAATTTCAGACCAATCTCAAAACTTCCCTTCCTGTCCAAAATCCTGGAGAAAATAGTTTTCATTCAAATAAACAAGTTTTTGAATGAGAACAGAGTCTTCAAGCTTTTTCAGTCTGGTTTTAAGCAACTCCACAGCACTGAAACAGCATTAGTAAGGGTTTGTAATGATATTATGATATCAAATGATTCTGGTTAATTTGTGGTACTTGTGCTCCTGGACCTTACTGCTGGTTTTGATACCGTTGACCACAGTATCCTTATATCACGGCTGGAACAGTGGGTTGGGATCACAGGTGCTGCATTAGAATGGTTCTGCTCATACCTGAGTGGCAGGAGTTTTTGTATCAAGGTTGGTAATAATGTGTCTGCCTGATTACCTCTTTCTTGTGGGGTCCCACAGGGTTCGATTCTTGGACCCCTTCTGTTCTCACTTTATTTGCTCCCACTGGGGTCCATCCTGAGGAAACATGGTTTTTCATTCCATTGTTATGCTGATGACTGTCAGATCTACCTGCCTGTGAAACCAGCAAGTGTTTGCTCCATTCACCCGCTGTTAAAATGTCTGGATGACATTAAGGGTTGGATGGCTTCAAATTTCTTAAGTTTTAAAGATGAGAAGACTGAAGTCATTGTCTTTAGCCCTAGCTCAACTGCTGCCACTGATCCTGTCAACCTGGACTCTCATCAGCCATATCTTAAGCAGTCTGGTAAAAATCTCGGGATGGTTTTAGACTCTTTAAGTTTGACAAACAAATTAACTCTGTTCTGCAGAAAAGCTTCTTCCAACTAAGACAGGTAGCTAAGCTAAAGCCAGTGTTGTCCAGACCTGACCTTGAGAAACTAGTCCATGCCTTTGTCATGACCCGATTGGACTATTGCAATGCACTCTATGCTGGGGTCAGCCAGGCCTCCATTTCACGTCTTCAGCTCATCCAGAGTACTGCTGCCCAGCTTTTAACCGGAACTCGTAGGTCTGAACATATTACACCAGTTCTGTCCTCCCTTCACTGGCTCCCTGTTCGTACGAGGATAGTCTTAAATTCTTCTGTTGACCTTCAAATGCTTAAATGGCCTCGCACCCCTTTACCTCTCTGAGCTACTGGAACCTTACATTCCCTCTCGGGCCCTGAGATCATCCGATCAGCTGCTTTTGGCTGTTCCAAAAACAAGACTGAAGCTCAGAGGAGATCTGGCTTTTTCTTTCGTGGGCCCCAAACTCTGGAACAACCTGCCCCCCAACATCAGGCAGGACACCTCCCTTCCTCACTTCAAATCTCTGCCAAAAACACATCTGTTCTTGCAGGCATTTCACACAGTGTAAATTGATTTAGTGTTTTTTGTTCTGTGATCCTATGTTTTAAATGCTTTTTATTAATTTTTCAGTTATTATTATTAGTGTATTGTATTTTTTTTCTCTTTAATTTTACTCCCATTGATTGTTATTGTTGTTGTTAAGCATTTTGGTAACAGGTTCTGTTTTAAATGTGCTCTATAAATAAAGTTGACTTGACTTGACTATATATATATATATATACATATATATATATACATATATATATATATATATATATATATATATATATATATATATATATATGAAGGCATTACAAACCCTTCCCACACTCTTGCAATACTCTAAACAATATTTATGTCGTGTTCGGCCGTCAGGAATGTTTGAACCCACGTGCAGGAGGATGACGAGGACGCTCGAGGAATAAATAAAAATATATTTATTTAAACAAAACAAAATCAAAACGCTGACAGGGCAGCTACTCACAAAAAATTATCGGATGGACGGAACGGAAGGCTGAACACAACACCATAGAAGGACAATCCCGAGACAAAGACAAGACACCAGTGAACTGAATATATACACACACACTGATTAGGACAATGACAGACACCTGCAGTGATTAACATTAGACACAGGTGAGACAGGGGCTGAACACAAGGGAAAACACTGAGTGCTGGAAACATGAGGAAACAGACCAAACCCCCACAGTACCCCGCACTCAAGGGATGGCTCCAGACATCCCAAGGACAAGCTACATCCAACTTGGGTGGGAGGAGGGACAAACCAAGACAGAGAAACACATAGGACCAGAAGAACAAAAAACTGACAGGAAAACCTAGGTAGCTAAACACAAATCCAAATCCAGGAACCCCAACCACAGTCAA